ATGGACTAAGTGCAAGGAGCTGGATGTTCTTCCCAGGATGGAAATGGTGTGAGGAGGTCTTAAGTCATGCCACGGGTCACCGCAGTAAACGAAAACGCCAGAACTCATTTTCACAGCGGCTGGCTGTGAAAATAAAGCATCACATTGGAGGGATAAAGCAGGAAGAATCCTCCTGCCTGCTCCCTCCCGGGCAAACACACACCCACACACAGGCTCAGGGATCAGACGTGGCTGTTTGCAAAGCCTTTTCCTCGCAATGTTGAACAATTCCCATCCCCTGCTTCCTCCTGAGCACCCACTGCAATAAAACCAGCTAACAAAGAGTCACTGGGTGCAGACAGCACSCAGAGACCTCCCCMCACCCCCCMAAAAWAWTWAAAAATTWGGATTTAGCAGGAGCAGCACGTTATCCAGGTTGACTCATCACAATCCAGCCCACCCATGCAATTAATATCCGAGGCTGCCTCCCAGAGGTGAGCTGCAAGGGAAGCGACCCCGCACACCCAAAACTGTGCAGATGCTTTCCCAACGGGATATCCACGCCTCATCCATTGGATTTCTTGGCCAGCATTTGGCAGGTGAGCAGGACAATTTGAACAGCAAGGGAATGATGCATTTTGGGATTTGGCTGTTGGACTATTTTGGCTATTTTCCCTTTTTTTAGATTTTTTAACTACAGGTTGAAGGGGGACCCTCGAAAGACTTGCGAGGATTTCTTGCATAAGCATTACACAAAGAGGAGAGACAGCAAATACCTCCAGAGATCCCACAAGCTGGCAAAGGGCCAAGACCAGGCCAGTTGAGGCTCTTCAGTAGACTTTTCCTGAAACATTTAAATAATTTAGAAAGCATTAACTCTTACTGACAGCTTCTCAGGCAGCTCTTTCCCTTGCAGGGCCTTATCAGAAGCCTCATCACTCTTAATCAAAAAAAAAAAAAAAAAAAAGAAGAAGAGATTCTGCAATGGCCCCAAACCTTGGTCAGGGTTAAAGATGGATTTTAAAAGATACCTGAGATATTTTTTTCTTTGCTGAAATGCTTTCTTTGTAGAGTCAGGGACCACCACCTGCCACTTATCTGCAGTGGCACCATGTAAAAAAACACAAAAATGGTTAAGAGACAGCCTGGGTAACATTTCACTCAAGTGGGGCTGTTCAGAGGGTGGGAGCTGTTCCCTGCAAGGGTTCAAATGTGTAAATATTGTAAAAACAAAGCAGMAGGGAGGAGTAAAGTAGTGGGGATAAGCCCTTTTGTGGGTTTAGAAGAGATGCTGCAGTCTCACACCATAACATCCCTGCCTTCTCCAGGGTACCAGGGTCATGTTTTGGAACAAAGTGAATTTCTAGAAAGTTTTTTTCCTCCCCCCTCTATCTTATCACCACCAGAAATGAAAACAGCTGCTGAAAAGGCAGCGGTGGCCAAGCCAAGCTCTCACAGCAAAGTTATTCCTGCACTCCTTCCCAGCAGCACCCCCCAAAAAAGAAGCTGAACAGAACAGGAGAGCAGCTCGAACCCCCACAAAGCCAAAAGTCAGGCCAAACCCAAGGTGTGCACTGGAAACAGAAGCAGAGAAGTGAACCCAGCCACCCGATCACCCAACACATTCTCGGCTGTGCTTTTAATCAAGACTCAGCAAGAAAAGCCTCTCTCTGCCACAAAAAGCAAACCCAGCCCAAAGGATACCCAAATGGCCCCAGAGCTGCACTCTGCAGCCTCATCCACCCCCCAGAACCAGGCTCTGCAGTGCCCACCAGCTTCAGGATAACACAAACCACCCCGTGCAGCTCCCCRTGCTCAGGAGCCACAAAACAACATCAGTGACAGCACAACAACACAGGTGGGGGGAGAGCCAGCAGCACCAGATCCCATTTTGCTGTCCATCATCAATCCCAAATTAAAATGCCCCGGTCCAGTGATGAAATAATTGCAGACTGACACTCCARGAGATAATGTTATTCATTAGGATGTTGTTGATGGTTCATCTACGAGGCTTCCATGGCTACAGCAGCAGGGGATGCTGTTTGGGAGCATTTCAGACACGCTACATACATGATTTTGTCTCCACTCAGCACTGCACTTCCCCCAAGTGAAACAGCTCCGTGTGAAGCTCCCTGACAGGCTGTGAGGATGTTCTGCCATTAATTAAAGAGAAAAACCAGAACAGGGAAGCTCCTCTGTGCTCATCTCCCCATGCATACCTTGAAACTAAATTCAGAGCCYGACAGCCAGCACTCTGGTTAATTTAAACAGAATTCAAAAGGCATTCTCCATCCTTAAACATATCCAGCACAGGCAATAGATATCATCACTAAGCAGAGCAAAGCCCATAGAAAATACATCAAGCGCTGCCTTACTTTAGCGAATTAAATAATTCAAGGGCTGGCAGAGCTGGTTCTTTTACATTTCCTGACCAAATGCATCACCCAGCAACAGCGGGGGCTTCAGTTTAGGGGGGTTTTTTAAGACCACAACTTACCTGTGCTACTTCCTCAACAGAGAGATGCCCGTGCTCCCCTCAGGGCTGTCCCCCCGAGCCACCAGCACTTGTCCCCAAAGGCCACTCGCTCAGGTGGCCGAGGCAGCAGCGGCRGCTCCTGCTTTTTCACTGGCTCCAACATTAATCCATCCAGAGCATCTTTGTCCCTCACTTCCAATTGGCGAGCGGCGGATGGGTGGAGTGAGAGCGCGACCCATTAGCTCCCAGATGGGCACCTCCWGCCCAGCTCTGCCAACCCCACACCTGGCCAGCACCTCTGTACATGCCACCACTGCCCAGGGCAAGGYTTTGAGCTGTTTTCTTCCTTCAGCCACCCAGATCCTAGCGCCTCTCAGTGATATCTGCCTCCAAGAGCAGAAATAGAGTAGTTAAAGTGACCCAGCGTGCCGGAGCTGGAGAGTTTTGCTGGATGCTGGGTGGAGAAAGCTCCTGTGCCTCCTTAAAAGAAAAAAAAAAAGAAAAAAAAAGCTCTGTGCCAGGCAGGCTCAAGAGAAGTGAGAAGATGCTGTACCTTACAGAGAGGAGTACAGGGAAAGCCAGAGGATGAAAAAAAGGAGGGGAAAGAAAAGAAAACCTGCTGCTGAGAGGTAGATRTAGGAAATTCCTTAAAGATACAGCTGCCGTGCCTGCCGGGCTCTGGTGTTTCATCCAGCTAAGCTGTACGGCAGCAGCAGTGCAGGGGTTAATGCATGCATTCGGTGGAATGAGAAACAGGGCAGCAAGTCCGTGCTCCAGCAGCAAGTTGCAGAATTCAGAGCTGGAAGACCTCACCTCATCCGTGGGGATTTAAATCTGGCCAGCCCTGGACCACGCGGTGCCTAAAAAGCCATGGAGGGAAAGATGCCCCATCCTCTGCCCCTGCCCCAGCCTATTCTACCACTTCACCTTCCTTACAATTCGATATTTTCATCACAATAAGCCAAGTCTCCCCCAGCTGGATGTTTAAAGCCTGGAGGAATGGTCTAAGCTGGCAAAAAAACAAAAAGAAAAAAAGAAAGGGGGGGGGGGGAAAAACCAACAAACTCCCCAAAGCAACATGAAATCAGCCTTAGAAAAAGCAGAACCCTAAAAGAATCAGGCAGAATTAAACAGCGAATTATCCAAACGCTGGCAAGGCTGGGTCACTCCCCTCCCGCAACTCTGACAATTGCTGCGACTTCAGCAAAAGGAATTCCCAGCGATGACATTTACCAGGAGGCAGCAAAGGCTTCCCAGAGCCAGGCAAGGGGGGAAAGAGCCGGCGGGACCCTTCAGCAGCGGGAGCCTCATGCCCCCATCCCCGCCACAAATTCGTTTCCGCTGCACACAACCACAGGCAATGCGTGTTTTTAAACACCTCCCACGCGTTTTCTCTGCCGAGACTGCTCAGCCAGTCTCCTCCATTTTTTTAATTTTTTTTTTCCMTCCCCCATGCCACCTGACGAGCTTTTCCAGGTAAGGCACATCATAGACTGGCAATAAGATGCTAAAAAGCGGAGCGTGGTTCAGAAAGGGTTGGAGGGTGGGAGAGACCCCTGGAGGTCTCTGATCCCACTCCCTGCTCCAGGCAGGACCACCTTGAAAGAGAAATCAGCACCGKCCCCAAAAAAAAGTTTTATAGGAAGTTGAGACTCCCATCCTTAGGATCAGAACTTACAGAGCTCAGCTCCTAAACCGGCGGGATTCACCAAGCTCCCCATATTACATTAAAGCAAGATTTGAACCAAGCTGGAATTTTAAAGGTAATTCCTTGTAAAGAGGCAAACCTGCATGAGAACATCTTAAAACCTTCCTCCATCCCCACACCTGATACCTGCACTAACAGCTGAGTGGACACCTAACAGCATCACAACCCTAAAGGTGAACCGAGCCCGCTGAGCCTCCAGCAGGTATTTCAGGTTTCACGCGGAGCCGGATTCATTTCAGCAAGTGAACAAGCTCAGGAAACAAAAGACTGGCTCAGATCAGTTTCTATTTTTACTTCTTTCCACGCTGAGGTTGTTTATCAGCTCTCAGGGTGTAGCAGGGACCGGAGCTGCTCCTCGCTGGAGATGCCAACGGCCGAGCTGCGGGACCAGGAGAGCTCTGAGAGCATCACCACCACCACACCAACCCATCCTACCATGTCCCACCACCACCATTCTCCAAATTATAATCACCACCATCTCCAAAGCCTCCTCAAACCCCACCAAGCTCTACCACCSCAAGTCCCAACCCTTCCCACCCGCGGTCACGCACCGTCCACCGGCCTGCTCCACCTCTGCGGCACCAAACGCTGYGGCCACGGCGCCAAATCCTGTGAAGAACCAGCGCTGGCCCCAAACTGGCCATAGGGCGAGCGCAGGAAGGTGAGCTGGGGGTAGCAGAAGGAYGCCGGCTCCATCAGGACAGAGAAGAGAGGAGAGCCAGGTACGAAGCAAACCGCGTCTCCCTTCGCCTCCTGCAGCGAGTACTGTTGGGACATGCAGTCTCAGAGCCTTCTCCCAGAGAAGCTCCTTTTTTCCAAAAGGATTTAGTGCAAAAAAGCAAAAAAAAAATAAAAAAAAAGAAGAGTAATAAACCCCGAAGGTGGCGGAGCAGCCCCGCTGCTGCTGTCAGAGCCCAGCAGAGCACACTGGCAAGGCAGCGTCTCCAGCCTGTATTTAAACGCCCCTCTCAGAAAGCAGAGATGCAGCACAGGAAGAGACAAATTCCAGCTCTGCGTCGGGCTGATAAGCCAGGTTTATAATATTCAAGAAGTATTGGCATTACTACAGTTCCTCCCCCCCCTTTCCCCGCTCCTCCCGCAACGAATATCTTGTGCAGGAGCTTGTTGTGCACAATAAGCAAAAAAA